ATAAGAGGGGTAACAAACAAACCCCTTTATGAGAGCTCCTTTGATAGCATCCTAAGGCTGTGTACTGAAGGACATGCCATATTGCATGGATTGGCTCTGGACTATTCAGAAAAGTCACCATGGGATTATTTTACCTGTCCATTTAGATTTGCCTGTGTTTGAGGGAATCAAAGTAGTAGGTGGAATGATTGAAAAGCACATCCAAACAAAAAAGAAACCAAATAAAAAATTTCAGTCCTAGAAATGCATTTGTGAGAAACTATTTGGCAGTAGTGTTTGGAGACTTTTTTGAAAAATATCTCCTATACTTCAATTGAGTAACTGAGAAAAAGATTATTTTTATACTTTTAGAAATGAATTAAAACCAGTGAAAAGGAAGAAGCCGCAAGATAGTAAAGGGCTAAATTGTAGGGCTTTGTGACTTTATGTATTAATATATCATATGATAATAACAGCAATTCATATTTCCATTTGAAAAGAAATTCAGATAATATCTTTTTACTTAATACAATTTGAATAATTATTTTTTCAAGGCAATATGGCTTTTTTAAAAATGAAGGAATCATAGACTCTTTTTTAAAGTAACTTTCGATAAAGTTAAGTTTGGAGAAGAATGAGGACACACTTAGCAGTCCTGAGGGGAAGAAGGGGTCCCTGAGTAGGCCATTTGGGTTGCAGTCAATAAGAGATTTATAAATGTGTGACATTGGGACCAGCAGTTAGCATAATGGCTATGTCGCTGGACTACCATGTAGTTGACTGCGATTCGCGTTCCAGACCCGGCAGCTTAAAACTCACGCCGGGTGCGTGTGCGTGCGTGTGCGTGCGTGCCCAAGATCCCGAGAGGAGAATGGAGGAGAAGGGATTGCGGCGTGACCATCCCCCCTGGGGGGGTGATTTCTCGCTTTCTGTCTCTCTGTATCTGTTTGTCTGTCTGGCGAGTACACGCAAAAAAAAAAAAACCTCTCCAAAAAAATTAAAAAAAGAAATGTGTGACATTTCAGAAAGTGTACGCTCTTAAATCAACAGTGTTGTTGTTTTTTATATAAAATTCTAATCGGTTACTATAGTGTTTGGTAGATGAATAAATAACATAGCTATTTGAAAACATGACTAGAGCAACCTAGAACACTCAGTACACAAATTGTCCTTTTTTCCCCACGTTAAATTACCTATTATAATTTTCTCTATTGATAGAAAATGTTTTGGTATTATGTACAAAGCAATTAATGTGCATTAGTGTTTTTAATAGTATAGAAATCCTTGGAGTATATCATTGTACTTAAACGCTTTAGTAAATTATTAGATTTGGGGGACCAGCAGGTGACGTGTTGGTTAAGGCACTGGACACTCCCACATGGCTGACTGCTGTTTGAGTCCCGTATCTGGTGGCTTGCTTTCCCATTTTCCTTCTGTTCTCTCTCTCTCTCACTCTCTCTGTGTATCTCTCTCTGGTCAAATTAAAATAAATGAATGAGTAAATAAAATTGAATAAATAATTCTTTAAAAAATCATTAGAATTGTCATGATTCCTTTGAGACTTTCAGCATGTTTATTTTTAAGATCAAAGTTTGCTGAGGACATTATGAAATAATTAAAAATGTTATAAGTCTTTTTGACTATAAATATATTTGAAATTCACTATTTTGGTTATGTACAAATTTTCATGTTATCACTGGGGGCAGTCTTTTGCCAAATTCCTATTATTTTCAACTACTTCAAATATCCATTTTTGTATTAAGAGAATCATGAACTGTAATCATATGGCACAAATGACATCCAAAGAATAGTAAGGTTTCTGGATTATATAATACTTACCTCTATTGTTTTTTAAACAAATTATGTTATTAATCTAAGAATTAGAATTTATCAAGGTAGGAGCCAGTAAGGTTACAGGCTGGTTTAGTTACAGGGTGGTTTTCTCTCTGCATGTATGTCAGATGTTTAGAATAGAAAGGCCTTGATGAAGCACTGATCTTTTCACAAACACATAACACACAGAGATAGAGATCATGTTTACCTTTGGATATAAACATTTACGGATCCGAAGGGAAGGATCCAGTAGAGTAAGAGAGAATGCTGAACAAAGAGATGTTGATTTATTCAAACTAGGCCAGGCAGAGGTGAAAAAAGCTAGGAGAATGGGGATAGACTTCATCAGAGGGGCATAAAGAGAGCCCGAGCCCTACACTGAGATTCTAATATATCCCTTAGGAGTTGGAGATAAAATCCTCTCTTGTAGAATCATTGAGTTTGAGATGAGAGCTGAAGACATTGATTCTGGATAAGAGAGGCACCATAAGAATGTGTGCTCACTCATTTGCCCATCCCTCCTTTTTTTTTTAGAGAGAGATTTTTGCTACAGGGCACATGTGCTTGCCAGAGAGACAGAGAGATGGAAAGCGAGAAATCCCGCCACAGGGGAGAAGGCCATGCCACAATCCCTTCTCCATTCTCCTCTTGGGACTTAGGGCATGCATGTACACATACCCGGTGTGAGTTTAAACTGCTGTATCTGGGACTTGAACCTGGTCAACTATGTGGGAGTCCAGTGATATCACCATTATACCATCTACTGGTCTCTGTCTGTCCCTCCTGTATATTAATCCGTCCATTCATAAAGCCATTTAGTTAACTTAGGAAGAAAAGTTATTCTCTCATATCTAGAATAATGAACAGGAAAACTAAATGTAATACTTCCTAATTTTTTTTTTGTTTTTGTTTCCAGGAATATCATAGGGGAATCAGGATCTTTCTCAGGGGCAGATTTTTATATTTTCTTAGCCTGCAGATATAGGAATGTATAGAATAAAACAGGTAGAAGCTAAACGGGAAGGCTTTTGTATTGATAGATACATATTGCTGTGTATTGTAAGTTTTAGTTTTCATATGGGTCAAATTGTACATAGGAGAGATGTAAATTACTTACTTTTGATCAATGTGGAGCTTCAGTAAATACATGCTATTTGGTTATTGACTGTGTACAGGTTAATATAGATTTGTGGGCCTTGTGATGTGAGTAATAATCTTCCTTGCTGATGTGTTAATTAATTTCCATGATTAATCTGAATATGTTATGCTGCAAGCAGTTTGGCTGTATACGTATATTCTTATGCAAAAATCCTGAATTAATTCTAAAGGATAATATTAGTGCCTTAACGTATGGCTTGTGGAGCCAGCAGGTTGCATAGTGGTTAAGACATTGGACTCTCAGTGTTTGTTTGGTGCTCCAAAACTCAATATACTTCATGGCAAAATACCTAAAGTCATAGATTACCAGCATTGCTAATGGGTGATCCAGTATCCTTTGTTTCTGTGATTTTAGTGGTTCCTTAGTGAGATGGGCTTAGTAATAGAAATGACACATCAGGTCCTCTGGTTGGTACAGTGGTAACTTAACACTATGAGATCTTGGCCTTACAAGGGAAAGTCCTAGGATCATGTCATTAGGCCTCCCTGTACACACACCAGGCTCCTATGTGTCCCTGGTGATACTGGTTGTCTCAGGATGGGAGCGGATTGTGGCATAAAGACCCTGTTCGAGTGCCTATCACTCTGTCTCTATCTCTGATTGCTCTTCTCTTTCATGAAAAATGTAAATAAATAAGCTTAAAAAAATGGCACAGCACTTGTGCCAGCAGGTGGTTTGGTGGTTAAAGAGCTGTACTCCCACATGGCCAATTGTACTTTGAGCCCTGGACCTGGTGGTCTGAAAATCATGCCCGGCATGTGTACATGCATACCCAAAATCCTGAGAAGAGAATGGAGGAGAAGGGATTGCGGCATGACCATCCCCCCCGGAGGGTGATTTCTTGCTTTCTGTCTCTCTGTCTCTCTCTGGTGAGTGCATGTGCCCTATGGCAAAAATCTGAAAGAAAAAAAAAGAATGGCTTATAATTTATTTAAAAACTTTTTTTTTTTTGAGAGTTTTTTTTCTCTATAGGGCGCATGCGCTCGCCAGAGAGAGACAGAGAGACAGAAAGCAAGAAATCACCCTCCGGGGGGGATGGTCATGCCGCAATCCCTTCTCCATTCTCCTCTCGGGATCTTGGGCACGCAAGCACACGTGCCCGGTGTGAGTTTTAAGCCACCAGGTCCAGGACGCAAACCGCGGTTGACTACGTGAGAGTTCAGCGACATAGCCATTACGCTAACTCCTGGTTCCCAAAAACATTTTTTTTTCTGATAGGTTTTCGCTATAGGGCACGTGTGCTCGCTAGACAGACAGAGAGAGACATAGAGACAGAAAGCGAGAAATCACCCCCCGGGGGGATGGTCATGCCGCAATCCCTTCTCCTCCATTCTCCTCTCGGGATCTTGGGCACGCACGCACGCGCGCCCCCAGCGTGAGTTCTAAGCCATCAGGTCCGGGACGCGAACCGCGGTCAACTATGTGGGAGTCCAGCGACATTACGCTAACTGCTGGTTCCTAAAAACATTTTTTTGATTGCTCAAATAGTAATGTCTTTTCAGGGACTTCTTGTCTCTATTTTTTAAAAATAATAACTACACCAATTTATGTAAATTTTTTCGGTACAAGAAAATAAATTACTCTTAACTTTCTTCTGCAATAAAAATTCTCAAAGAATCTCTAAAAGAAGAGGAGACATAATACCTATCTTCCAAAATCATTCCTGCCTCCTCATCTGAATCATCATTTAGTAAGAACAGGTGAAATATGGGTACAGGGTACTTTGGTGCTATGATTTCATGGAAGTCAGTGGACCTGCATTTAAGGCTAATATGAAATGTAAATGCACCAGGGTGGCGATTTAATTTAATTATGAACATACCAGTGTAGATTAACTTATTAAAGCACCAAAACAACATGACCTCGAAGAATAATTGGAGAATATCTTCTTTTTCTGATGGTAGATTTGGCACCCAGGTCCTCTGAGGGCTATAGCTGATATCAAGAAGAGGTGCCTAACACATCACGATGCTCTTCTTTAGGAAGTATTTTTGTTTGTTAATAAGGATATTTTTGTGTTTGCACACAGGCAGCATGTCAGCTGAAACACCAATCACACTGAATATTGACCCTCAGGATCTGCAAGTCCAAACATTCACTGTAGAGAAGTTACTGGAGCCTCTTATAATACAGGTACTAATACAATGGGAATTATAATGGGGATTTAATGCAAATGAATAAAAAGCATGAGAAAAATAGATAATAAGCCAATGATGATTTGATTTTTGTATATGAATGTGTCATCTTAAATTGTCCTTAATTTAAAATATTGTTAAAATGTACAAAAGTACGGGGCCAGCAGGTGGTGTGGTATAAAGGTGATGGATTCCTCTATTGTCTACCATGGTTTGAGTCCCAGACCTGGAGCTTTAAAATCATACTGGGTATGTGTACATGCATACCCAAAATCCTGAGAGGAAAATGGAGGAGAAGGGATTGTGGTGTGGCCATTGATGGGGTGATTTCTCACTTTTCCTCTGTCTCTCTCTGTGTTTCTTGGTAAGTGCATGTGGCCAATGGCAAAAATCTAAAAATAAAAAAGTGAAAAAATATGTATTTAGTAGTAATAATAAAATTCTGAAAGTTTTCTTCCAGATTCTAAGAGCAACAGCAGTGATAATATACATGTGTATCATTTTCAGAGTAACTTTATATAAATTATCTTATTTGGTAGTCATGAAAACTGAATCCAGTAGTAGCATGGCTGAAATATTTTTTTATTAGGTAGAAGAGTAAAACTGAGACCTACGAATTTCAATGAATTGCCCCAAGGCACATGGTAGTTCATTTGTCAGATAGGAAATCATCTTTAAGAGTTCAAAACATATGAGAAAAGCAGCTATTTAAAGAAATTCTGTGATAAAGTCTTTCATAAAATGAATAACTCTTTGATAATATCTATCGTAATTTTCTGACTTATTTGTTGTATAAGTCTATATTTACATGTTGGATTGTTTTATAAAGCAAAACTTGAAGAATCTTATGCAATAGTATGGATTTAAATATTTTGTTTTTAATCCAAAATTTGGGAAGAACTCCCCTTTAGGGTTACCTGTATTATGTCTCCTAAGACAAGATTTGAGTTCTTTTAAGTACTCAAATCACTCAAGGTTTACTTGGGTGAGAAATACACCAACCATACCTTTGATCATTTAAAAATGCCTACTTAGCTCTGAGATGGGTGGAGGGGAGGAGAGTAACTTTGAGAATAGATTTTGTACACATTTTTTACTTAGTGCAAGTCATTATGTGATATTGAAAAGAGAATTCAAAGCATGTGCCTCACTGATGATAGCTTAATCATTAACTTTGGCGGTCTTAACAACACTAATATGGTATGAAATTGATTTTAGATGACTTTGGGGACTCCATTAAAATCTCTATCTTAGTATCTATTGAATGTATTCATGTTTAAAAGAAAAACATATTTGTTGCTTATCTGATAAAGTTTACTAATACAATTGGAACGCCAAAGAAAAAACAAATCTCAAGAAAGAGAATAAAAAACACTCATAATTTTACTACTAAGAGGTAAACATTACTGTTTCAATAGAGCAACCACTACTGTAATTATATTACATTACAATAAAATTAGAAGGATTTTTTTTATCATCTTCCTAGCACTTTATAGTAAAGAATATATATATCTTTATATTTATTCATATATATGTAATATAGATAGTGTATATTTACTTCAGTATATGTATGAATCTGGGCCTCCCACATGGCTCCAAGTATCACTCAGCAGAGTCCTACTGCCTGTGCCACTGAGGATGATTTTTGTTCTGTAACAATGGAACATCAAAGTTTCTACTTAATCCTTGCTAATCACAAAAGTGGCTGGCTGACTTACTGATTAGGAGCAGAGAGAGTATCATGGCAAAACTACTTTTTATATTCTAAGTGATAACTAGATGCTTTGCTTTAGTCAAATATTTTTCTACAGCAGTTAATAAAAATCATTCTAAGTAGGGACCAGCAGTTAGCATAATGGCTATGTCGCTGGGCTCCCATGTAGTCAACCATGGTTGGAGTCCCGGACTCAGTGGCTTAAACCCACGCCGGGCACGTGTGCATGCATGCCCAAGATCCCAAGAGGAGAATGGAGGAGAAGGGATTGCAGCGTGGCCATTTCCCCTAGGGGGTGATTTCTTGCTTTCTGTCTCTCTGTCTCTCTGGCAAATGCACACGCCCTGTAGCAAAAACCTCTCAAAAAAACATCATTCTGGGAACCAGCAGTTAGCGTAATGGCTATGTCGCTGGACTCCCACATAGTCG